AGAGAGAGAGAGAGAGAGAGAGAGAGAGAGAGAGAGAGAGAGAGAGAGAGAGAGAGATTGAAAGAGGAAATGAGTTACAATTTTTGTATGGATACGAAGTACCTACTATTTAATTATTACTATTTAATTATTACAAACATTATCAATTATTACGTGCTGTTATCATTGAATGCAGTATACTATGTCATCTTTCTTGCATTAAATACTGATTATAAAAAAATGAGAAATATTCATAATTATTAGTCATATACGGTTTTTATATATTACAGTGTGATGGATAAAATATAATATATAAGATATGTATATATATATATTGTTATATCGAAAACATTTAAAATTATTTCGCAAAATATAGACTGCACCTCAAAAATAGATTCAAAACAATGAAATTATAGGACCGTAAAAAAGCAACGCCGCCTGTAGCGATATAAATCCAAATACAAAAGGTGTTTCATGTAGTTATAAAATAATGTAGAAGGAAAAGAACAAACAGAATAAATTTATAAGTTGCTATAAGAAAAACTCATCAAACTTTCACTATATTCACTAACGATTTTTCTTTAATGCGAATATCGATAACTTTCTATACCTGTTTTTTGTCACGAGTTACGTAACTCCAATCGCATATAAAACGATCATATTTATATACATTTTAAAAACTGTGCTTTTTTAAACCGTTATACACATCAAATTAATCACAAAAAGTAAAATAAATAAAACTATACTTGTAATAATTTGAATAATTTGTAACGTTCTTATCAATAAATTATTGTATTATCCTACATACATTCATCATTAATTAATGCACAATAAATTATAATTATTAAACAACATTTTTATCCAATGCTGGACCACAACAAAACGTTATTAGAAATGTAACGTTTGTAATCAAATTACGATGTAGTATTCGAAATACAGAGCATCCATACATGTTTTTAATGGCCAACTATAGCCGCCAAAATCATGACTAACGTTAAACATCCTAGTAGCAACATTCGAGCTAATGTTATAGTCAATACTAATGACTTACATATAGTATTCCATGGAAATGAATTAATTGCGACAAAATCGCGAAACTCGCGCGCTCGATCGATTTCAATGTGTGATTAATTTCTATCTATCAATTTTACATTAAACTCACCTCTTGCGTCCCGGTATCCGCGCACCAACCAGCCCTCTGCTACGGCGTCATTCGTTAATCTAAACAGAAGAAATGGAGTGTCAGAAACCTGGCCGTAAGTATTTTCTAACGAATGATGCCGTGGTTCTTTTTTTTCCTTTTTTTTCAACATCGATATAATAACGATTAAGCTATGAGCACGCAGATAATACCTCCGTGGCGGAAGCAGGCGGGCAATTTTGCGAGACTGTCTCCGGTATAATATTATGTGGGGTCGAAGGTGTACTTAAGTGCGTTGATTCAAAGAAGTGCACGTGGGAGGAACCGGGAGATGCTTTCAGAGGCGGAAAGAAAGCAGGCGCGAGATTCGCGCTTCATTCATTCACGAATCTGTGAGGGGATCGTAAAAGACCTCTCCTTCGAGATGTAATTAGCACATCTTTCCGCGACATGCACGACAATGCGGCTTTTAATTAGTATGCGTTCATGTATTCCGACCGATTCCTCCCTGCAGCACACTCCTTGCATCCGTCCGTCTTCATTCTGCTGTAGACGATGACGATAACGACGACGGCGAACACACGTGGTCGATTTCACGCGCGCGTGACTCGCGCGCGTGTGCACGCTGGGTCGCAGCAACGAAGCGTGCACGTTTATGTCGGCGCATCACACGCCGCTGCACCGCAGAAGTGTCAATACGCGGGTGCGTGTACGCGCGCGGTAAGCGAGCTCGCGTGCACCGATTTGCGTTACGGCGGATACCTCAGGTACGTAAGGCGTTTCTGCGTAGAGCCTGCAAAGAGCCACGACGAGCGTCGACGTGAACGACATAATTCGATGTCTCATCTTCCGCTCATAAATCGCTCACGATCGCGCAAATCGCCAATCGAGCACTCGCGTAAATATATTGAAACTGGCAATCTGCGAAGATGAGAAACAATTGAAAATTGAAGGATAATTAGCGTTGCAATTTCTTCTGTAATTTCTTCTTCGATAATGAAAGTCCGATACTGATATACCGCGTGCTTAATTTAAGCGTTACAAATCTCAATCGACGTGCCACGATTCAACAATGAACTCAACAATGGAGTTTGACATATCAAGGAACAAATCGAAACGTTTGAATTCACTAATAATTTTCTTATAGACTTCCGACAATGCTGCGTGCATTGATTTTGATGGTAAAGACAGTTTTAACTATCGTCGACTTTTAAACTTTGTCGTCCGTTACTGATAACCCATTATGGTCGTTCTCGATGACATGCATAAGTCAGGGACACGTCGACGAAATGATGACTTTTCGTGCGATGTGTAAAAGTGGATTATGCCATTTTTTACGATAGTCGGAATGTGTAAAAGTAATGATGCGAATAACGTTTTTTATTCAATTAGCTACAAATGATTGTAAGCGCACGATTTAAATTTTATCGAATCGATATCGGCGAAGACCATAAAATAAAAATGCACTAGTTTTCACGTCTCACAGCTTGCGTTGTTATCGTCAAACGCAATCGTGTAGATATGACATTAACGCGCGACATGTCGATCCGCAATTACCGTGCGAGCCTCCACTCGCATTCTCGAGACAATTGTAGAGGGTGACGAAGGACACCAATTGCTGCTGAGCTAACGACAGAAAGCTGCACGATTTCCGGGATGTATGCTAATGTCTGATATTAGATCGAGTGTCGCAAGATAACTCGTATATAGTCACGCGTGATTATTCAGAATGGGGGAAAGAAAATTCATCGTGTTAGCTTTTATATCGAATAGACAGACTTGTCTATTCTCTGTAACAAACTGAAGTATTCGAAGTAGGTTGCTTTTTACAATTATTTCACATGAATTAGACGAAGGATGTTATAACACGATTAGTCGAATAATTTTATACTTTTTTGCAATCAACTACAATGTAACAACTGAAGGAAATATATTATATATTAAAATCCGCGATACATGGGGAAAGGAACTTTCATATTATATGCGAGGACGCTGTAAACATTTTCAACGTATGTTTTATATAACTGTCATTAACACTTTAAGTGCCATGTTTCCCAATTCTCGAAGATGACTTTATTTAGTACAAATAGGAACGAGTATTTTTAGCCTCGTAAGAAACACATTCAAAATATCTTTGGCATTAATGTTAAATAGGAAAGTTTTCGATACGTATATAAACATACGATTATATATATATTTTCGACATCTATAAACACGTTATAATTTCATTTACCTATACGAGGCATTAAAGAATTAAATATGCACTGAAACACGTTACATTCATTGCGCGCCCTATCGAAATACTATTTTAATTACAGCATATGGTATACGTGTTGAACTCGGCGACGGTTTAAAACGCCCGACCGAAAAGTCGAGTTATATCCGATTTTGAAGCGCGCGATCTGTGTCAATGCCACGATTTACCGTTGCGAGCCTTTCGGGAATTGAACGAATATTGAAATTGCGGGAAACGCACAGAACTTTTGCATAATGAGCTGGTGGTTCACGCCGACACACGGACGTGCACGCACACCAAGTCCAGCGCCGGCGCGTACATGAATATTTTCATTTGATTGCGTTAATTAAACTCGCGCTGCCAGGCGATGACCTTTGAAGTTCAGCGGCACGCGGCACGCATACACCAATTACCGATATTATTAATTGCAATGTGCTCCACGTTTTCGGCAATCATTGAATCTAGCGAGTAGACATGCATCTCAATCTTGAATATTTCTTTTTTCGAAGAGTATTTTATTAATAGTTAAAAACATTAATTTATATGTATAATATATAAATACACACACACATACACACGCACACACACACGCGCGCGCGTGTGTGTGTGTGTGTGT